GTATTTCTTCCCTTCCTAAAGCCACTCTGACAGTTATCCAATACTCCTCTTTTTTCAAGGTCATGGGTCAATCTATCTGCTATCATCCTTTCCATGATTTTACATAAATTTGAAGTAAGAGCTATTGGTCTGTAACTAATAGGTTTTTGTAGGATCTTTAGCAGGTTTCCTTATTGGAATTACTACTGCTTCTTTCCAAGTAGTTGGTAATTTTCCCTCCTCCCATACTTTATTATACATCTCCAGCAGTTTCAACAGTGACTTTTCCTCCAATTGCTTTAACATTAAATAACAGACTTGATCTTTTCCTGGAGACGTAGGCTTTGCTCTTTTCGTGTTTGTGATCGATACACTGCGCATGCTCACATGCAACCCACTTCCGGTAGTCTTTTTTTTTTTTTTCTTCTTCTTTTTTTTTTTTTTAAACAATTACATTTAATCTTAAAGACATTTCTTGTGTGATGTTAAATATTATGAAGACTATTGAAAAACAATAAAACTATTGTTATCGCACAATTTTGAAGTTCTAAGTTCGGGAAAGCATACTAGCACACTATTTCACTAAGAGTAGTGTGTTAGTGTGCGGCGAAACAAATTAAAATTACGCTTTTTTTTTGTTTCGTTTTAATAAAATATATTTTCCTAATTCAGCACTGGTTTCGGAAAAATCTCGATGTTTCGTCGCAAGACTAACGTTAATGGTTTTAACCGATCTCGAGTCAGTTTTTGTAACGTTAGATAATTAATTAATTTAACGAATTTTAATAAACGTGATATAATGAAAAGTGAGATCTAGAGTTAAGATCCTAGTAAGAGCCTAAAACATAAAACAAGCACTACAAATGAATAAAATAACAAAAACGAAACAGAGGTCATATCAAATGATATTTAACGATTTGTAGATTACATTTAGTAGATTGCACTTTCGTAAAAGGCGTCTTCATGCACTTTTAAGACTTTGCTCACTTTGTCTTTATATGCAGTGGTGTAAATTCAAATTAAAACACTAATTTTGAATAATTTCAATGTCCGCAAACTCCGAGTCGCCATGTGGCAGTATATATGCACCTGTGCTTCATTTTAGTTTCGACGAAGAGAAGCAGAGAGTGAAGGATTTTGGGTAGGACATCCTTAGGTCAGCCATATTGCGGTGGTCCGTCTGAAGGAGAGAGAGAAGATGAGGGGGATCCGGGGAATAAGCCAGCTATCGGTGAGAACTTGATTAACGGGGTTAAAGATGACTAGTAGAGGTTCTGCTGCATGGTCCTGTGTTGTTTTGTTCGAGTGCTGTCTAGATAGGACAGATGCTGGCCTTGTTCTCATACAACCAAGCTAGATAAGAGATATATAGTATATATAGTTGACAGTTCAGCTCTGTGTATGTCATTTCATTGCATTCCTCGTTTTGAATGCAGTTAACTTATATAGAGCAGCGATTCTTAGTCTTTATGCCACAGCACCTATCCTAACATTTAAAAGGGATCTATATAGTTTAAGGCTGTAAAATAATAATGGCCATAAATACAGGTGCATCTAAAACGAATTAGAATATTGTGGGAAAAAGTTTTTTTTTTTTTTTTTTGTAAATTATTTCAAAAAGTGAAACTTTCATATATTCTAGATTCATTACATGTAAAGTAAAACGTTTCAAAGTTGTAGTTTTTTTTGTTTTGTTTTAATTTTGATGATTAGAGCTTACAGCTCATGAAAGTCAAAAATCCAGTATCTCAAAATATTAGAATATTTACATTTGAGTTTCATTAAATGACCATCCCTACAGTATAAATTCCGGGTATCTCTTGTTCTTTGAAACCACAATAATGGGGAAGACTGCGGACTTGGCAATGGCCCAGAAGACAATCATTGACACCCTCCACAAAGAGTGAAAGTCACAGAAGGTCATTACTGAAAGGGGTGGCTGTTCACTGAGTGCTGTATCAAAGCATATTAAATGCAAAGTTGACTGGAAGAAATTGGGTAGGAAAAGGTGCACAAGCAACAGGGATGACCGTAAGCTTGAGCATACTGTCAAGCAAAGCCGATTCAAACACTTGGGAGAGCTTCACAAGGAGTGGACTGAAGCTGGAGTCCACCACATCAATGGCGCTTTTCCACTGCGTGGTACGACTCGGCTCGGTACGGCTCAGTATGGTACTCTACTGCCGCGACTCCTAAAAAACTTTTTCATTCCGCGTCATCCCATCAAGCTCTCGCTGGATCCGCTCCTCTGCTATCAACGAGAGGAACGTCTGTACTTCGTCAACAGGGGGAACAGCCACTTTTTGGTTGTTAAAAAAAGGTGCGCTCGTTCAAAACAGTTGCGTTCGATCCTTCGCTGGCTGTGCTGATTTAAATCTAGCGCTTCTTTTGTGTTTGTGTCGCAAGTTCAGTGACGCAGGTAGTGACGATTCTCTCCGGCCAATCCGTGATCAGCAGAGTTTACACGTCACGTTTTGGTAACGGTACGGTTCACTTGTGGCGCTTTTCCACTGCACGGTACGGTTCACTTTTGTGGGGTTTTCCACTGGGTACAGTACCTGGTAC